GGGCACTCGTGATTGACATCTTATATTCCTAGCAGCTCATGTTTCAGAGTTTCAGTCACCCGAAGGGGTCAGGAAGGGTTCTGCTATGTATTCTGTGGCAGGTTTTGGTCTCCTTCCTCTGAAGCAGTGGTCCCCAACCTTTTGGGGCTGCCGGGCGCTCGGGGGCGGGGCCACACGTGAGCTGGGCGCCCAGGGCACAAGAATGGCTCGGTCCGGCCCTGGTCACTAGGCGGGCACATATAAATGCCCCGGCGGGCACCACTGCTCTGAAGTATGAGAGATGGCCACAGCTGGAGGCGGAACACTGGACAGGCAGGCCCAGACACTGAGGTCTAAGCATTAATGGTTCATCCTTCCTCTCTACACTGTTAATTATTTTATATAGCTCTATCACGACCCTCCTCAGTCATTTCCTCTCCAAACAAAAGTCTCTGTATGTTCAGAAGCCTATAATTCTCTCTTCACCCACCCCTTCTATTGCTGCTCTATCTTCATCAAGACAAGCTCGCCAGAATGAAGCACTAGCCCAGATGCTACGGTAATAGCTTTCAATAGCATTTGCTGCCCCGCCGCTTTTGCATCCTGACATTCTGAGGCAGACTCTCAGTCCCCCTCTGCTCTCTTTGTGCTATTCAAATAGCGACTTCCTTAGCTTCTCTCTTCACCCACCCCTTCTATTGCTGCTCTATCTTCATCAAGACAAGCTCGCCAGAATGAAGCACTAGCCCAGATGCTACGGTAATAGCTTTCAATAGCATTTGCTGCCCCGCCGCTTTTGCATCCTGACATTCTGAGGCAGACTCTCAGTCCCCCTCTGCTCTCTTTGTGCTATTCAAATAGCGACTTCCTTAGCATGCGAGGACTTAGAAAATTCATAGTATAAAATCTGAGTTTGAGGTTTGACTTGAGTATGTTACACTCTGACTTTCAGAAGGTTTGTTGGGATCCTTGTCAGATGGTACAAATTAGAGCAGCCCCATAGCTGCTCTAACCAGTACCTCTGGCCAAGGGGCCAAAGAGGAAGAAGAAATTACATGAATCAAAGTCCACAGGTGCTGCGCTAGATTATTAACAGCTGGCAAAGAGAGCACTTAATGTCTCATAGTTATTTATACTCCTGGCTACTGTGTTTGTGTATATAAGTGCATCAATTGTAAATACGTGTATGTGCAGAAACTAAAACAGACAATCAGGTCTCTCACAGATCTTTGACCTTAGTCGCTGCAGTTTCACAGGTGTTAATGGAACAGATGTTTTGGATGGAATTTGACATACTGATGCTGTCTCTTTTCGCCACAAAACAGTGAATTATGATTAAGATAGAAAATCTCCAACAATTTGTCTAGAACTAGAAGCCAAAAAAGGACTGCGTCTTCAGCTTGTTTGTTTGATTGCTGTGCCTGTTCTCCCAACCTCTAAAGTGTTTGGTCCAATTTTGTGGTGAACCAAAGTACACAAGGGAAGTAAGAGTTCAACATGCTCTCTCTGTCTTCGCACTAGTATTGTGGTATTTGGTAACATCACAATGATTACAAGTTTGTTGTTCCTTAAATAAAAGCCTTTTCCTCTCTTCCCAGAGTTTATAGTGTGGTGAATTATAATGACTCTAGTACAAAACACAGTTTTATTTACGGAGGGTTTGTGTGTCTGGCCAGAATCGGGTTTTCTCCACCCCTCCCCCGACCTCCTCAAAAATAGATTAAGTTTACAAATGTCAGCAGGCAGTTTTAGCTGCAGAATCCATTTATACTTCAGAAACAAGGAGCTACTAGTTTTAGCAAAGGAGCCAACACTGGTGTCAGGGTCTGATGGATCAACATAGGATGTCCTCCTATTACTCGTCTACAGACAGGGAGAGGGTAATCAAGAAAGGGCCTAATCTAAAACCTAGTGAAGTTAATAAAAAGACTCCTCTTAATCTCATTGATCTTGGGATCAGGACCTAAAAACAAGGGGATGTGTGAAATATTGGTAGTGGGAAGAAACAAGGAGAAAAAAAAAAGAGTAAAACAGGAATGAGGGACAAAAGCAGGGGAGGGGAAGGGCCGAGTGTGAAAGAAGGAATGTTTGCCATCTGCTCTCACATATCCAACAAACATTAGACCTCAGCCTAGCAAAGAGTTATGCCCATGCTTAACTTTATACATGGTGTGCAGCTTCACTGTAGTGAATTGCACTGAAACCCCCACGCTCCATGTGGAATGCTTACAGAATTCCACAGAAACGAAAAGTTAGTTCAAAACATGATGCTTCTGCAGAGACCATCAAGGGTAGTCTGACTAACTACAGTAAAACTCAGATGGTCCGGCACTCCTGATGGTCCGGCATCATCAGGAACCCGGAAGTGCTCCGGGCAGCCGGACCATTGGAGCTGCTCTGCCCCCAGCTTCCCCGATTCAGCCGCTGGTCAGTTTTAGCAGCGGCTGAATCAGGGACGCCTGGAGCAGAGCAGCTGGGGTGCTGCCAGGTAGGTCCCCTAGCGCTGCCCCTCAGGGCTGCGGGACCAACCCAGCAGCCCCCCAGCTGCTCTGCCCCCAGCTTCCCCGATTCAGCCGCTGGTCAGTTTTAGCAGCGGCTGAATCAGGGACGCCTGGAGCAGAGCAGCTGGGGTGCTGCCAGGTAGGTCCCCTAGCGCTGCCCCTCAGGGCTGCGGGACCAACCCAGCAGCCCCCCAGCTGCTCTGCCCCCAGCTTCCCCGATTCAGCCGCTGGTCAGTTTTAGCAGCGGCTGAATCAGGGACGCCTGGGGCAGAGCCGGACTATCGGAAGGGGGGGCTATGAGGGGTCTGGAGTGGCATCCCCCCACCCCACCCCAGATCCCTCATAGCCCCCCTTCTGATAGCCCGGCATATCTGATAATCCGGCACCCCCTGTGTACTAAAGGTGCCGGATTATTGGAAGTTTACTGTACTGTGAAAAGCTGAGTCTCCTGGACTAGTATGTAGGGCTCTGCCAATGAGTCCAGGGTAAACCGGGGACGCTTCACCGGACCAGGCCCTTACATGATATTTTCTTTTCATACGTGTTCCCCAGGTGATGACTTTGGTCACCAAGAAGCCAATAGGCCTAACAATTCTAATCACAACTACTCCGAGCAGAACCAAATGGACAAGGGAAGGAAGGATGATTTTGTGGTTACAGCACTAGACTGGGAATCAGAGACCTAGTTTGAATTCCCAGCTCTCCCAGAGACATCCTGGGACAAATCACAAGATCCCTTGGCATTTCAGAGTTTGTCTACAAGCAGCCTATGCATGGATTTAACTACAGCCATTTAGAAACAGATCCCATTAAATCAATAAAACCCAAGAACTCTTCTGTCACCCTAGCCACATCAGAGACGTTAAGTCAGCTCAGCTGTGGTGCTGAGAGCTGTAAATTTTTCACACCTCTGAGTGATACCGCTTGGTCAATCTAAATTTTTCAGACCATTCTTATAATGGATTCAGAAACACAAATTATAATACAGGTTGAACCTCTCTAGTCCAGCATCCTTGGGACCTGACTGGTGCCGAGCCACAGAATTTGCCAGATAACAGGAGATCAATATTGTCTAGCAGCATTACCAACACTTCCACTGCTGACTGGGTTCTCAAAAGATATTTAGGGGTAAATTAGAGCCAAATAACAGCACAGAACAATGAGAACTAGGACCAGAGGCTGTAAACAAACTTTTTGAGATCGCAGGAAACTCAGGCAAATCCACGATCTGGCTAACTAAAAACATGCCAAATCACGGATGCTGCTGGACCAGCATAGTTGGTATTGGATGTAAACACATATGTTAATATAACTGCAGCCCTGCTAGAGTTTGCACTGATTTAAATAAACCAGGGCAAATTCTCAATTCTCTATCTGTACAATGGAGATAATCACTCCTTGTCTTACTTAAAACAATTCAGAGAAGGGAATGTCTTTCACTATTTATATGTACAGTGCCTAATACCACAACTGAAGGCTTTATTGGGGACCTGATGTCTCTTGCAATACTACTAATACTAATACCTGGAGGTCAGAAATTTCATGTTTAATTCGGTACCAAAGAGATATTTAGAGCCTTATTTTTTAACAATTGAAAGACAATTAAAAGGCCCTTTCCTGGTAAATCAACAGATCACCAGAACTGAAACTTACTTGTTATTCATCTCCAACTTCAGAAATGCTATTATTGCTTCTAAACAGGATTTATTCCTTCCATATAGTCTGTTGCCAATTTGGAACCTTAAACTGTATTTAACTTCCTTTGGGAAAAACTCTGGCTATACATCTCTTAACAACTAATTTGGTTTTTCTATTAAGACAGTTTGTTGTTTTTCTTCTCTGTAACTGGTCAAATATATTGATGAGTCATTAATTAATGGACATTTTTAAAATTATTTTAAACATCCACAATAGGCTGAAGGCAGGCAAGAGGCCTGCTGAAGAATTCAATTAACTTTTGGCTTGTTTGGTAATAAATAGTGCAATATTGTATTCTGCCATTCTTTATTCCTCTGCTAGTGTCTGGAGACTGCCCAGATGTTTTGTCCTGCCTCCGGGCTGTTGCAGTGCTATCCTCTGCTCTCCTGACTCTAGTTAATCTGTGCTGCTGTCAAAACTGTCACATGAATGGTGAATCATGGCTTCTCCCTGCAATCACTTAAACCCCAGGAGACCAGCTCGGGGCAGACAGCTGCACAGACCCGCACCCAAGCAAAGCCTCTCCTCGTGGAGGATTTTACAAATCAACTCCAAGATAAACTGGAAGCCTGACTGACAGGTTCTGGGTTTTTAAGGCACAGAAATTTGTCAAAAACAAATTGGTTGTCTTTCAAGCAGACACCCTTTTCAGTGTTCTCCCCCCCAATCCTCCACTTTCTTTCTTCCAAATAACAAGTGGATCCATTTTCCTCTAAACAAACTAGAATTACAAAAGAATGTTGTTCTGCTGTACTTAATAGATTTGCACATTTTTCCCTTTCTTCTTGAGCCTTTCCCAGTATAACATATAATCCTTTGCACCTGCAAAAGCGCCACAGGCTGCCGACTGCCAAGAATCAACCACGTGACCCTGCTTCCACGACCAGAGATCCTGCATTTAAAGAGAAAGGAAAATAAGAAGTTATTAAATGTTTGAATCTATCTGATCCCCATGCGAGTTAACTCCAAAGATGGGAACTGAAGTGAAAAGCTATTTCTGTGGCATGTTTCAGTGATGTCATAAGTGATTTTTCCCAAGGAACTTTTGCACTCAAATAAGCAGCTGGAGTGAGAAAGATGTCGGGAACTGAAGAGGGCTTGAAGCAAATCGTTTAAAGGGATTCAATATGTCCGTATGTAAGCCTGCAGCAATGCAGAGTTGAAAATATTTCATGAAATTATTTTCTTGTTGGCAAATAAAATGATACAAAGCAGAATGCTAAAAAAAATACTCCCCCAATGTTATCAGTTCTGCCTAAAGGGTGCCTAGGGGGTGGAAGGCTCGGGGCTAGGGCAGTTCCAGACAGAGAGAGGGGGTACCCCCAGCCAGCCGCTTTCATCTGTCTAATGATTCTCTCTCTTTTCTGTATGGTTTGATGAGAAGCAATCCCATTCCAAGCACAGCCCATTGTCCTGGCAAAACCTAACTCTTAAATATCCTTAAGTTATGATACAATATACTGAATTTGGTAGGCCTAGCTCTGACCTTTTAGGAAAAGCTCTTGAGCAGACAGCCAGACAAACACTCTCAAATATACAGTAGACTAGTGTTTCTCAACCTTTTTGTATGAAGTACTCCTTTAAAAAAAAAGTACCCCCAATACCTACAGTTTTCAGACACACACAATTTTTTTCTACCATTGCAACACATTTGTTTAAACAACGTAATCGTAGTCGGGCAGGCAATGAAATTTTTGGTGTAAAAAGTACAAAAATAATAAAACGCTGTAAAACTTAAAACAAAAATTCCATTTTCTCCAATTTTCAGTTGTGTTGATGTACACTCCCCCACCCTTCCAGACTTCTCCTGAGTAACCCTAAGGGTACTCGTACCACTGGTTAAAAAACACCTCAGTAGAATAAGGACTAGTCTCTTGTGCTAGCCATTCTTTTCCCTACTGATTTGGAGGGCGCTTCCAAGTACAGGCTTTTAAGCTGACAGTATCCACAGCAGAGGGACAATTTTCCTTCTCCCAAACAGCGGCTTCATAATTCTCCAAAATCTTAGGCTGCTCTTGGTTATTAACATATACAATTTGGATACATGCAGTTTTTCATGCATTTCGTCCCTACTGGAGAACGTGTCTGCCAGTTCTAAGATGAAGGGTGGCATCTTCAAAAGGGATTTAGGAGCTCAAAAACTCACATTTTCAACAGTGATGTAGGCTCCTAAGGAACAAAGTTACTTTTGAAAGTGGGCTGCAGGAGATACATACGTTTGACCTTTTCCCCACATATCCTTAAAACGTCATATGCTAAAACTTGGCATTCTGACCAGTTCCTGTGTGTTATTCACACACAGCAGATAGACAACAGCATGATCTGCTGGAGAAGGAGCAGGGAAAAGAAGGGCAGACGGTGAGGGATCTACCTAATGCTCACATCCTGAGCTTTTATGTGCCGCTAGAGAGAGTCAAGGTTACTGATGCCATTTCTATTACTTATTGAGTTCCTTTATGTAGTCTCAAGGAGGGAGCTGTGTGTACTTATACAAATGTTCAATTATGAATTAATCCAGAGGCTGCCCCATGTGCTGACATGCTGCATTTATCTCAGAAAAGCTACGCTGGATGAAAAGCTGTGCTGAAAAGAACCCATCTGGCGCTGCAGTGGAGTTATGCTAAAAAACAAAGACTCAGCCAAGCAAGGCAAATGGTGATTAATTCCCATAGACTATGGCTATAATTGACAACAGGTATTTGCAAAGAACCAAACCCAGTGGAAAACTGGGTAGTGGGGCATAGCGAGGAACAGTTCAATGAAATTAGGCAAAAGCAGAATGGAGGCTGGACACTAGGAAGAAAATTCCCTAACAGCGAGGGCTATTAAACTATGAAGCAGTATCCCTAGGAAAGCCCTCTCATCTGAGTCATTTACAAACAGACTGGGGAAGGCACTCAAGCTCCCACTATAGGAAATAATCCTATATTGGGAGGGATCGGCCAAGACGACCGAATACATTTCCTTCCATCGCCGACTGGCGTGATTCACGCGGAGTTCCAAACCCGCACACGGGGAAAAAACACAATAAGGCAAAGGGTAGGGAGACCAAAAAGGGCAGGTGTTCTGGGCCAGCTGGGTAAGTGACCATCTTCTCCAAGCAGTGTTTCTTCTAATAAATTGTATTCTGCAGACAAAGCCTACATTTTGGAGGTCCCATGTAGATCTAGGTTCTGCTAATTGCCAGGGCTTTGCAGTAAGATAGATTTGTAACTAAGGCCAAGAGACTTCTTGTTTCTCTGAAACCTGCCTAACCAACCTATGGTGGTTTTGATCCCACTGAAACCGAATTAAGCACAGAAATCAGCAGGATCTCATGGAAAAGGGTGACAAATGCCTTAATGAGAAGGCCCTGTTCCAGCTAATACTCATATTCTCACTGTTAAACACCAAATTCAGTGCGACTATTCACTCCTGTTGGCAGTATCAACATAGTGCCTAGTGGGTTCCAATTGAGATCACAGAGCCATTTTCCTAGACACTGTATAGATGCACAATAGACACTTCCCACCCCCCCAAAACTTCCAGCCGAAATAAGACACAGAGAGGTGGGAGGGAAAACAGAGGCAGAAAAAAAAAAAAGGGTGAAACAACTGCCTGAACAGGTTAGTGGGAAAAGCAGGATTAGAACTCAGGTCTCCTGACTGCCAGTTCTAGAGCCAATAGATCACATTACGTAAGTGTGAGCAAGACCATAGAAAGTGAAATAATCACGTTGCTCTTAAAAATATTTGTTCATTTACCATACTATAAATACACCGAATCATCATAACTACACGCAACAATTTGGTCAACTTGTTTCCCCAATTCATTCCTGTCTGATTGGTCAAGGCTTGTCCTATTAGAAAAAACATGAAATAATGGTGGGTTTCTTTTCAGGGCAATTCCCATTTCTACCAGCATTCAGAGTGTTGGAAAGCAAAGAGGCCACCATGCCAAGCCAGTATCATGTGTATTCTATTAAATTGATGACTGAATAGAAGACTTGTTTTTACTTCAAAGGACCCTCATACAAATCGCTCGCTCTTCCCTTATGAATAACAAATTGGAAATAAATCTTCTAGCTGAAGTGCCTGGAATCTCATGCAATCCGGGTGCAATCTGGCTTTCCAGCTTCATCTCATGCTAATTGTTTGTAAACACTTTGATGTGCCATGTACATAGAACTACGTGTACATCTTGGCACTGCATAAAACAACACGATGGATGTGTACTCAAGATATCCAGCACAGTGAAAATTAGGGCTGTCAATTAATTAAAGTTAACTCAAGTGATTAACTCAAAACAAATTAACTCAATTAAAAACAGTAATCATGATTAATCACAGTTTTAATGCACTTTTAAACAAGAGAATATCAAATTAAATTTATTATACATATTTTTGGATATTGTTCTACATCTTCAAGTATATTGATTTCAATTACAACACAGAATAGAAAATGTATACTGCTCCCATCATATGATTGTTCTTATTACAAATATTTGCACAGTAAACAAAATAATTTTCCAATTCACCTCATACAAGAGCTATGGTGCAAATATTTGTAATAAAAAATAATCGTATAAAGTGAGCACTGTACACTTAACGTTCTGTGTTGTAACTGAAATCAATATAATCATAATTAATTTTTTGAAATTGTTTGACAGCCCTAGTGGAAAGTCATAAGAGAGCTACCACAGTGACACAACAACCTTGGAGAGAGAGGTCTTATTTTATATGTGGATAACCCCATATTTCTTATTCTCCTCTCCAATCCTGCCTTATACTCAACTTGGCCCATTGGCACAGACGCTCCAGAAAGCCCATCAATAGAAATCAATAGAGGTTGTACCTCTGTAAACCAGGACTCTCAGGTCCGGCAGCATCCATGCTCTGGCAGTACCACAAATGCCTCTGGACCAGAGAGGCATGGGGCTGGGAAACTAGTGGCAGCAGGCCAGCATCCAGCAGCCCCAGACAGCCCTGGGAGCCCGTGGCAGCCCTGGACGGCGTTCAGCAGCCCAGGGATGCTCCGGTAAGCATCCAGAAGCCCCAGTTTCAGGGCCAGGAGCCCATGGCAGCCTCAGCTGGGGCTGGCAGTAGGGAGGCAATGGCCGGCCGGGGCCGGAGGGGTCAGCTGGGTCAGCAACAGAGCCAGTGGTGGGGAGGGTAGATGGGCTGGAGGGCCAGCAGCAGGGGACCTTCTCTGGTCCGGGAAATTCCCTCATTTAGGACTGGTCAGATCCAGAGGGCGCTGGACCAGGAAGGTCGAACCTGTAGTGAGAACTATTATAGCTGAAGTGGAACTAACATTGGTATTGCACCTAGTAGACACACGCATCTGAATCCAGGACCCCATTTTGCTGGGAAGACTCACTCATAGGAGATAGTTTTTGCTCCAGCAACCTTCCAATTTAAATAAACAGGACAGAACAGTAAGATTATGATTCTATTGTATAGATGGGGGACAGAAGCACAGAGAGATTAAATAATTTGCTCAAGGAGAGCATAGCAGAGCTGGAAACTGAATCTAGACCTGCTATGTCCTAGTCCAGGACTTAATAATAAAAATAAATTATTATTTATATGGTTGTAACACCTAGGAGCTTTCGTCTCAGACTAGGACCCAAGGTGCTAGGTGCCGAACATAGTGAACAAAGACAGGTCCCTCCCCAAATGTGTACTTGGTCCTGCCGTGAGGGCAGGGGACTGGACTCGACCTCTCAAGGTCCTTTCCAGTGTTCTATAATTCTATGTGCATACAATGTCTTGAGAAAACACACTGGCCCAAGCATGGGACAAACTCCGTGGGTTAAGTTCTCTATGGCTGTGTCTAGACTGGCAAGTTTTTCCGCAAAATCATCTGCTTTTGCGGAAAAACTTGCCAGCTGTCTACATTGGCCGTTTGAATT